GTGCACCTTAGTCTTCAAAGAGATATCTTTTCCCTTCAGCACTTGAAAAAGGTCTTTTCCAGCCAATTTGCCCAATACTATATGCAGTCTATATGTTGAGTGCTGCTTCCATTGGTATTGATTGTAGAACTGAGTAATGTGAAATCTTTGACAACTTCAATCTTTTCTCCATTTATTGTGATGCTGCTTATTGGTCCAGTTGTGAGGACTTTTGTTTTCTTTATATTGAGGTGTAATCCACACTGCAGGTTGTAGTCTTCAATCCTCATCAGTAGGTGCTTCGAGGCATCTTCACTTTCAGCAAGCAAAGTCGTTTTGTCAGCATATTGCACGTTGTTAATGGGTCTTCTTCTAATCCTGATGCCATGTTTTTCTTCATGTAATCAGCTTCTTGGATTATTTGCTCAGCATAATTTGAATAAGTATGGTGAAAGGATACAACCCTGACACACTCCCTTCTTGATTTTAAACTATGCAGTGTCCTCTTGTTCTGTTTGAATGACAGACTCCTGGTCTATGTACAGGTTCCCCATGAGTACAATTAAGTGTTCTGGAATTCCAGTTCTTCTCAATGTTATCCATAACTTGTTTTAAGATCCACACAATCTAATGCTTTTGCATAGTCAATAAAACACAAGTAAACATCTTTCTGGTATTCTTTGCTTTGAGACAAGATTCATCTGACATCAGCAATGATATCCCTCGTTCCACATCCTCTTCTGAATCCAGGTTGCATTTCTGGAAGTTCTTTGTCAATATACTGTTGGAACTGTTTTTGAATTATCTTCAGTAAGATTTTACTTGCGTGCAATATTAATGCTATTGTTCAATAATTTACACATTCTGTGGGATCATCTTTCTTTGGAATGGGTACAAATATGGATCTCTTCCAGTCAGTTGGCCACATAGCTGTCTTAAAAATATACTTAGTAAAAATATACTTAAATTATATAAATCATATGAAACAAAAATGAAAACACACTTTTATTGATTCTGCCAGTCAGTCAAGAAAATACTTGCTCTTGGTTCTTGAAATATCTTAAAACCATAAACTCACATTCTGGTAAACTATGTCTTTTCCACTAGTGATTGTCGAAATTCATCTATGGCCATCATATTTAGTTGACATTATATTTACTTAGTTTTCCTTGAGCTTTCTGCAGCATCTGATGTTTGTCCACTGCTGCTTCTCTGTCTCTTGGTATCTGTGACTCTACACTGCTTCTTTTGTTCTCTTGCCTCCCCAACTGCTCCTGTTTTGACTCTTCTTTTTCTTCTTGCTCTTAAATATAGGCAGCCCTGTGTCTTCTCCTCTTTGCTCTTTTTGGGTAAGGTGATTCTGGAAAATCATATGAGGCTTTCATTCATTTATTACCACATGTCTTCCTTTATCTGCTCCTCCAATTTTCAGATTTCCATATCCTAGAGCCATATGCATATTTCCACTCACATAAACACTTCATATCAATTTGAACCTATTTAAACATACTGTCTTTCTTCTGCAGCAGCTCTTTCCTGGTTTTCCTATTTAAGTTACTGGAACCACCATTTTTTTTTTTTTTTTTTTTAGGATTTGGGTGAAGATTTACAGAGTAAATTCACTTTTCATACAGCAGTTCACATATACTTTGTCTCATGTCATTGACCAAAATTTACAATGCAGCAGCTCCCCTCCCACTTCCTCCCCATAGTTACCTCCTCCCAGTGTCCATCCCTTCATACTCTTCTGCACCCTGAGAGGCCCATTGTCTGCCAACTCTGTATATGATCTTGGATACACTCTCCATTTAGACATACATAATTGTTTAGCTTGTTCACCCATCTATCCGTCCCTATACCCATGTTTGCTTTCATTGACAACTCAGTATTGTATTTGCAAAGGGGTTCATATTTGTTGTTTGTACTGCCCATGTAACTCTCTCTGTCTTTCTCATCCTCAATGCTGCCATATTGGTCACTCACATTTGGTACATTGCCCTTCTCTTCACCCAAATCAATATTTATCTCTATCTATCTAACAGCATTCCCTCCCCTTCCCTCCCACCCCTGGTAACCAACAAAGAAAATGTCCTCCAATATATAAACCTTTCCTTAACTTTCACAATAACGGACTAATACAATATTTGTCCTTTTGTGACTGACTTATTTCACTCAGCATAATGTCCTCCAAGTTCATCCACGTTATGCGGTGTTTTGCAGATTCTACATTATTCTTTAGCGTTGCATAGTATTCCATTGTGTGAATGTACCAAAGTTTGGTTATCCATTCCTCAGTTGTTGGACATCTAGGTTGTTTCCAAGTTTTGGCTATTGTAAATAGTGCGGCGATGAACATCGGCGTGCATATATCTGTTCTTGTTATGGCTCTCACTTCTTTAGGGTATATACCTAGTAATGGGATGGCTGGGTCAAATGGTATTTGTATTTCCAACTTTTGAAGGAATCGCCATACTGCTTTCCACAATGGTTGTACCATTTTACAGTCCCACCAGCAGTGTATGAGAGTCCCAATCTCTCCACAACCTCGCCAGCATTTGTTATTTTCTGTCTTGTTGAACTTTGCTACTAGTGCTGGAGCAAGATGGTATCTCATTGTTGTTTTGATTTGCATCTCTCTAATAGCTAATGATCGTGAGCATTTCTTCATATGTTTGTTGGCCGCTTGAATATCCTCCTTGGTGAAGTGTCTATTCATGTCTTCTGCCCATTTTTTAATTGGATTGGTTGTCTTTTTGTTATTGAGGTGTTGGAGTGTTCTATAAATTCTAGAGATAAGTCCCTTGTCAGATATGTTATTACCAAATACTTTTTCCCAATCTGTAGGTTCTCTTTTGACTCTTTTGGAGAAGTCTTTGGAAGCACATAAACATTTAATTTTTAGAAGGTCCCAATCATCTGGCTTCTCTTCTGCTGTTGGTGCATTTTGAATTATGCTTGGTAGTCTATTTATACCAAATATTAGGGCCCTTAAGTTTGAGCCTAAATTTTCCTTGAGAAACTGTATAGTTCTAGGTTTCACATTTAAGTCTTTGATCCATCTGGAGTTTTGGAACCACCATTTTTAAGGAGGGGCAAGCTAACTAAAAATTCCAACCTTCAACTCTTTCCTGAACTTTATGTCTCATATCTAATTAGTTACCAGTTTTATAGAGGCTGTATTAAACAATTTTCACTCATGCCTCTCCTTGTCTCCATCCCTCTTACCATTACCTACTTCCAGCTTCTAATTATCTTTGCCTACTCAAGTGCAAATAGCCTTCTAATTGGTCTTTTTGCTTTTCTTCACAACCTGCTTCAATGCATTACACTGAATTTCATAATAATCTTCTTAAAGTGTAGTTGTGATCACATTCACTTTTTTTAAAATAGAAACTTTCAGTGGTTCCTCATTACATATAATTAAAAAGCAATTACTTAGACTGGTATTCCAAGATTTCTACAATATGGTCTCCATACTCCCAATCATTGTCATCTGCCATTATTAAATTCCATCTGAATGTCATTCTCTATTACTAACTAGTTCCTAAATATGCCTTTTGTTTTCTGTATTCTAAGGTTTTACTCATATAGCTTCCATTATATTTACCAGCAAAACTCTTAAACCCACTGTTGAAGAACTATTACAAATACTAGGATTTCTTTTAATATGTTCTTGAATCTTCTGAAATTAAGTATGATATTTTATGCCTCTGAATTCTCTTTATATTTACGTAGACTTCTCTTCAGATAGATGTTTTATACTGAACGTCTCCAAGGAATTGTTTATCTTTCATATTGTATGCAGATTTTGGTATAGTGCCTGTACTTAACAGGGAATTAATAATTACTTATGGAATTTTTCTTATCCAAACAGTTCATGTTTATTAAGCAATAAAATAAACAGCATGCTCTTCTTTAAACCTGGGAATCAGATGGGAATAAGGGAAGGAAGGATAAAGATAATATTACTTGTTCATATACCTGTAATTGGTGTTTAGAAGAACATTTGTGTGATGTTTATTTTCCTCATCAACACCCACTTACCTAAAAATTTCCCTTTGATCTTTTAAAAGGATGTGATTCTGTCTAAAAGAGAAGCTTACAGATAGAAGAAAGATAATTTAGTCTAAAATGTTTTCAAAATGTACACAAAGGTGGAGATGAAGAAGAAAGCTGAGCAGGTACAGGTGGGAAGGTCCCTTTGTCTGAATTGCTTGCTTCATGGTCCTTTTACATCGAAGCTGAGGTGTCCAGGATTCTAATGCTGAATAAACTGGCTATACACACTTTTTGAAACAAATTGTTAGAGAAAAACTGCCCTAGCATGTAGAGATTGAAGTCTATAAATCTCTTAGCAGAAAGTATAGCTGGCCTAGTGAAAAGGTAAATGAAAACACCTAGGGGTTTTCATAAATATATAAAACAATGCAGAATGTTCAGACATCACTGATAGGAAATATTCCAGCTTTTCTTTCCCCTTATGGCTGTGTTTCCATGGTACCAAGCTTGGACCATCTTAACAGAAAAGGGGCCGTGATTCCAGAGAGACACTGCTTTATTTTGTAGCAGAATAATAATCCACATTGCTTTAATAGCATTATTTTTTCAATTAATTTCTTGATAATTCTTTACTATTATTAAATTAATCATGAGCAATAAATGTCATGAGCCACAAAAAGGATATAATACTCACCTAAATAATTCTGCACAGCAGAATATGTAGCATAACTATTATTAGACCTGTGTATATATGAGATTATGCATATAGATGTACATATATAATTTACTTTATAAAGGTATCATGTAAATAGTGGTGTTTATATGTTAGAGAATCAGTCACTGACTTTTAAAAGAAAAATAAAACATATAGTATTTTACATTTTTTTATGTTGTTAAAAATAATCCTTATCTTAAATTGAGACTTTGTCTGTATGGAAAAAGACAGCCAAATTATAGACAGTCCAAGTGTTAGACAGATGGCATTATTGAATGGAAAATATGGTTATATTGCTCAATCTTACTTGTTGCTGGAAGATATCAGAGGGCAAGCACATTGCCGACAGTCATTTGGCAATCCCTTGACAATTCCATAGTATCCTACAGCACAGCGCTCACAGAAGTCACCAGCAGTGTGATGTTGACAATTCTGTAAAGAAAAAGGGGGTTTTTGATTTAAATAAATTTGGACTGCAATTTATCATACAGTTCCCTACATACAAGTGTATGTATACACACCCACACACATTGTCACTTACACAGGACCAGGTTCTTGATGCTTACAATTTTAAAGAAGCTGTTCATTTGAAAAATGAATATTGTGTGTTAGCTGTGTAGCTACATTGCCATTAAGAGTTTTTGATCTCTTTTGCCTATGTCAATTGCTATGCAAATTTTTTCTCTTCCTGTAAACTGGGAGGTAGACTTCAAGAATCTCCAACATTTAGTGTATCATCTGGCAATGTATGCTTCTTCTCATCCGGTTTTAGAACTCCAAGGCACTAGAAAAAAAGAGCTAAAAATACTGAAGCCTAGGCACATTTCTCACTGTCCATCAGCAGAAATCAACTCAAGGTGAAAAGGATAAATGTTTTAAGAGCTAATAACAGTAAAAAGAGGTCAGCCTAGTTACCATATTAAAAATGATTTTCTTCTCTTGCCAAGGGTTGGTAGTTCTTTATAGACATAAAGGAATCAATTTGAAATTAACAATCTCAGGTCAATACTTTATGTTTTATATTTGCATAATATGAGACACTTGGGTAATATGACTTTAAGACACTTCCATAAAGAAATAAGTATCATTGGAGAATAGAATATAAATAATTTTGAAATTAAAATTCTTGTACTGTAGAATAATATTTAACACACAGGAATTATTCATGTTGTAAGCACTTAGACGGTACTACATGCAAGACACTGAGGCAATCACTGAAAGGAATCAAGTGGGGCAAAAAAGATAAAATAGTATCTCACTGCATAGGAATATTTCCGTTTTAGGAAAATTAAAAAAAAAAAAAAAAAGAAGAAACATGGCAGCAAGAAGGCAATACTGACTATTGCTTAGTAGGAAGCTGATCCTTGACCTTGGGTATTGGGAAGAAAGAAGGAAAACAGAAAATTTGGAGTTAGAGTTTAGTTTGATTTTATAAGGCTGAATTGGAAGAGGTGGGAAGGCGTATTTACTTCTAAACAATATCAAAATGTAAGTTGAGAAACCAGAAAGCCAGCAACAGAATAGACACATATGTTAGTGAACTGATTTGATCAGCTGAGCTGGAGCCACAGAGCCACCTGCAGGCTCTGGGTCGTATTTGGAAGACGCTGCAGATACCAGGCTCTGCGCCTCTTCCAGTCACTCAAGAAGTATATGCCCCCTCCCCCGTGCCTTCTAACGGTCAATGTGTAGTACTTGATGGGTTGTCATTTATAATAAACTAAATAATGTCACTTCTGCTGCAGAAATAGCCAAGGTATTTACTATTTCATTTTTATTTTTAGAAATTCTATTATCTATTTTTGAGTGCTGTTATCCAGGGTGAAACTGCGGCATTGTCACCATTAATTTTAGACCACTGATATTTCCATATTTTTGGTTCCATCTTTGAAAATATGTACATCATTTATAAAGGTATTTTATAGCAATGTAAAATGGATCTAGTTTTCCAATATGACAAGGTACAAATCTCAAGCCTTTGTATTCTCTCCTCATTCTAAGTAGAGGACAGCTCTCTAGTTTCAAATAAAAGGAAGTTCTCCTTGCGATAGTCTCTCAGCCTCTGTCCAAACCATTCACTGTACGTTGCTCACATTATATACCAGCCCATTAACCTTTATCTCCTTCCATGGGATGTGGTGTTCTGTCCTTTTTCTAAATCCCTTTGTGTGTGTGTGTGTGTGTGTGCGTCCTCTGCCTTCTCCTTTTCTCCTGCATCTTTACCCTTTCTTAGCTGGCTTATTCCCATTAACATTTGAGGTCAGTCAAGCGTTCCCTAGCTTTAAAAAAAAAAAAAAAAAATCAAGTCTCAAGATCCTTGAGAGTTTTCATTCTGTTTTTGCTAGAATTTTAAAAAAATATTGTCTACATTTCTAATCCCCAATTCTTCATCTCCCAGGTGTCTAATTCTATCAATGAAGTGCATTTCCAGGCTCATTCATAAGACCTTTGGTACTAATCAAAATTTACTGAATTTTCTGCAGTAGCTGACATTTCTACCTACTCTTTCTTTGAAATGATCCTTCCTTTTTTTTTGGATAGTATTTAACAGGTAACCAGAAGCTGGCCACTCACCAGCTACTCCTTGGAAGGAAGGTCGGACAATCTACTTCCGTAGTGATACTGCCTTGGAAACCCAAGAGAGGTTGCTATGAGTCAAATTGACTCGATGGCAGTGAGTTTGTTTGTTTGTTTATAGTCCGTTGTACAGTCTATAGTCCAATGGTATAGTCCAATAAATACCAATGAAAGCAGCAATCAAGAAATCAGATGATGTATTGCACTGGGCAAATCTGCAAAAGACCTTTTTAAAGTGCTGAAGAGCAAAGATCCCTTTTTGAAGACTAAGGTGCGCTAACCCAAGTCGTGGTATTTTCAATAGTCTCGTATGCATGTGAAAGCTGGACAATAAACAAGGAAGACTGAGGAAGAGTTAAGGCTTTTGAGTTGCGGTGTTGGTGAAGAATACTGTAAGTACCATGGACTGCTAGAGGAACGAAGAAATCTGTCCTGAAAGAAGTGAAGCCGGAATGCTTCTTGGAAGCAAGAGTGACTAGGCTTCGTTTCACCTACTTTGGTCATGCTGTTAGAAGGGACCATTCTGTAGAGAAGGATATCATACTTGGTAAATTGGAGGGTCAGGAAAAAAGGGGAAAACCTTCAACGAGATGACACACTGGCTGCAAAGATGGGCTCAGACATAGCAAGGATCGTGAGGCTGGTGAAGGATGAGGCAATGTTTCATTCTGTTGTACATAGGGTTGCTATGAGTTGGAGCCAATTCAACGGCACCTAACAACAATCTATTGATTTTTGTCATACCTCTATAGCTACTCTTTGTCACTCTCCTTCAGGAACACTTCTTTCTCTTTCTGTTTAGTTATACTGGTGTCCTTGATTTTCATCTCGGCACACTCATCTCTTTTCCTACACATTCCATAGTTGTTGTTGTTGTTGTTGTTATGTGCCATCGAGTCGGACCCGACTCATAGTGACCCCTCCTTGGGTTTCTGAGGCAGTATCACTACGGAAGTAGATTGCCCAACCTTCCTTCTGAGGAGTGGCTGGTGTGTTTGAACCGCCAGCCTTCTGGTTAGCAGTCAGATGCCTTAGGCACTACACCACCAGAGCTCCTACATTCCATAGTAGTGCATCAATATCATCCACCCAGTTGATTATCCAAGTTAGCAACCTAGGTGCCATTTTCATCTCAGACATCTATTTTTCCACTAAGTCCCAAGATTCTATTATTTTCTCTTTCTTTCCTTCTTTTTAAATTTTTCATCATTATTTCTTAAATATTTTATTGAGTTTTTGTTGGAAGTTTACACAGCAAATTAGGTTTTCATTTAAAAATTTCACACATATTGTCCAGCGACATTGGTTACATTTTCCACATTACACCAACATTCTCTTTATTTCCACTCTGGTTGCTCCTCTTCCTCTTCCTCTTAATGCTTCCTTGCCTCCCCTGATTGTCTAACCTTTGCTTTAGGGTAACTGTTGATCATTAGTTCTCAGACAGATGATTCTATTTGTTGTTGTTTACTCACAAGTGATATTGGTTATTTTATCAGCCTATCTGTTGTTGTTGTTGTTATGTGAC